GGCCCAGAGCCAGGCTCTTTCCGTGATCAGCCCCGGCCCCGAGGGGAACTAAAGAAAATCTGACCAGGAACTCAGCAAGCGAAAGCCCTGGCGACTTCACGGAGCTGCACCCGACCCTGCAAACCACAAACAGGCGATAAACTGGGGGAGGGTGGGGGAGAGCCCCCCCTCCCCACCACAGCCATGCTGAGCCCCCCGAGCCCCCAGCCCAGCTGGGGACCAGCCGCACCAAACACACTCTCACTCAGCCCACACACGTTTCCATTCACCCCCCATCCCATTTCTGCGCAGGGCTTCGGCATCTGAAGCGTTTTAAGTCTGTAAATTGATTTTCCTGGGAAGATGTGGAGCTTTTCCCAGAGCTGCTTCCAGCCTCATCTTATCCCCCTCACTTTCTTCTGCAGCCTGAGGCTGGCTCCAGCACAGGCTCGTCAGCCCCCCTGTGGTTTCGGGTCTCTTTCGTCCGTGGAAAACTTGGCAAGTGTCATCACAGGGGTCTGGAGAACCAGCTGCCTTTTTGGGAGGCAAAAAGAAGCCACCTGGAGGAAGGAGCAGTTTCAGAACTCAGCTCAGACCTGCCTGTTCCACCAGGGGCCTCGAACCAAGCTGGCAGAGCGATTATTTCAGACAGAAAGGCAGAAAGAACCCCACAGACATTCACATGAAGCCGCTTATCACCAGCCGAGCCCATGGACTCCACTCAGACTGAGGTCTGGTAACAAAACCACATTTCTCGCTGCTGGCGAGGTGACACCCACAGCACCCGATCAGCCCCGTGACAAACCCCAAGGGGCAGGGCCAAGCTGCAGGTCCCACCAGCAAACCTGGATTCAGCTCCTTGCTGAATCACACGAGACAAACTGGCCGGGTCAGGGCAGGAACCAGCAAGAGCCACAAAACCAGCCACAACACTCGGCCACGAGATTCCTTCCCTCCAGGCAGCACCAGGACGCGTGCTGGGCACCCCACTCTGTGCAGGAACTCGCCTGGCTCTCTGGTTTCTCTTCCTCACTTACCGTTTCTCTCCTGGAGGAAGGTTCACATCAACATGAGAAGTAGTTTCAAAGATGTCAGGTCAGCTAAGAAATGAAAGCAATTTTTGCTTTTAATCGTGCAGCAAGCCCAGGGAACATCCAGCCCAAGGCACCGCGCGGCAAGCGGCACAGGCTGCAGGGATCCCACTGCCAAAGATTAGAGGTTAATGCAGCAAAACATCACAAATCACATCCAAAGGGGCTAAATAGCGTCCGCTAAATCCGTGTTGCTGCACAGGTCCCACGCTGGGTTTTCCAACCTGAATTGTTCTATGATTCTATGATTTTCTATTTCCGTAGAGCTTTCCCCAACTCCATCCTGTGAAGCTGCCACATTGTCACCTGGGACAGACTAACACAGACCACAACATTGTATTTAAGAATACATATGTATTAAGAAAATATATAAAAAAAACTGACTAGAGCTGTTAGTAACACACCACATCTCTGCCTCCTGCTCCCTCTGCCCCTCCTCTCCTCAGTTCAGCCACACTTTGGCTGAGCCACCAGCGGTTTCATGTTTTCAGGCACCTTCTCCACGCACAGTTCAAAGAACACTCTTAAGTACAGGAAAAAAAGTGATTTGAACTGCAAACAGAGCACTTTTAAGACAGTAAGGGAAATTTATTCTCAAGTTTTCCATGGCCGCATGTAAAAGTCCAAATAACACACCACGGCTGCGCCAAGGGAAATGCTGGCTTAGGAACATCTGTCCAGGCAAGAGGTTTTTTCTTTTTTCCACAGAAAGGGGAAGTCATGTATTAGGCAACAGTTTGCAGCAAAGCCAGCAGCAGTCAGCTCGCTCACAAGCCCAGCTTTCTTCTCGACAGCAAGGACACCTCCAGATCGTGACTCACTTGGAAACCACAAGTACAGCATCCCAGCAGCTTTTGCTACGAAGGAGGACGTGCCGTGGCTTCACAGCAGCCAGGGCACCCCTTCCTGCCAGGGGACAGTCTTGGGAGGAGCAGGCAGGTGAGGGAAAACCCCATGAAGAGTTTTAAGGTGCAGGAAAGAGCCCAGGCAAAAGCTGTGCAGTTCTCAAGCCTCCGGATCTTGTTCAGGACATCGCAACGCTGCCTTCCAGCGGCCACACATCATCAAGCGTAAAACTATTTGTATTTGCTGCGTAACTGTGCTAAGAATACTACTTTTTTTCAACAAATTCCAATAAATAACCGTCACTTAGACCCTACCATGAGCATTCCCAGACCTGGCAGAGCTACATGGGAACAGGCTCGGTGCCATGCAAGGGCTGAGGTCACCTCCACGCAGCAGAAACAGCTTCACTTCCCATCAAGTTGCAGGAGCCCTGGCGTGTTTAGCCCAGAGGACGAAGAACCTCAAACACCATGAGTGTGGAGAACCCAGCTGTCTTAAACTAAGTGTCGCGTGCCCACGAGTCTTCTCCTGATCTAAAATCCTGCTACAGCCAAGGAAGTGACAGAACAGGAGTGATTCCAAATCCTGGAGAGCTAGGAGAACATCAGTAAGTGACATTTATTCCAGGTGACAGCAGCACATCCTGTGGCAGACAAACACCCATGCAGAAGCAGGACCAAGAAGCGAGGAGTTATTTTTCTTAAGTATCTTTGAGTACAAATTTATAACCAGAAGCCCGGCGGTAGAGCACAAGCTGCTCGTGGATGTAACTGAAGCCACTCAACTTCTGAGTAAAGAAAACGCACAACCGAGAAGAGGTTTAAAAGAGCTTTAATAACCAAAGGTGTAGCATCGTTCACAGACGACGTCCACGGCGACCACCCTTCCTGCGAGTGCTGTCCGAGGGGATGGGGGTGACATCCTCTGCAGGAAGGAGAAAACCCAACGCATAGTTACCTTCCAGAGGCACCCCAAAGTAACAAAAAAAACCAAACGGGGCATGGCCACCCAACCAACCTCAATGTCCCACAGTCGCCTCTCAGCAGTGAGCACCCACGTGGGTAGGACATGCTCGTGGGAGCAGAGATACCTGTGACCTCGCCAAGCACCGGTATCAGGGGATTTAATACTCCGGGAGCAAAAAAACTCCCCCACATCACATCTCACTGAACCAGGCAGCCACAGCATTTCCAAAGAAATGGAGGGGCCTCAGTGTTAGCTTTCAGAGCAGCCACCACCGCTGCCGCTTGGGACTCCCCTGCAAAGTCCGGGCCTCTCCCTCTAACAGCTGAAGGCACTCCAGTATCATGGAGTCATCTCCAGGCAGCTGAACAGCACCAGCGCTGTTGCACCAGGGGAGCACTGGCACCGTGCTGCGCAGCCAGGAGCGTTTCTCAAGTGTGCTCACACCATCTCCCGGGGAATCGTCAATTTAAGAATCTGTTTAAGTTAAATCAGTGCCACCTGACAAGACCCCGAAGTTAAACCATCAGCCCACATGGCACATGTGCCTGCAAAACTCCTACAAAACAATCCCTCAGAACTGCTTTTTAGGGGGTTTTCAAGCAGCAAAGCTCTGCACAGACACACACGCAGAGCTTTCCCCACCACTCACCGATGCGGCCGATCTTCATTCCAGATCGGGCCAGAGCTCTCAGGGCTGACTGGGCACCAGGTCCTGGAGTCTTGGTCCTGGACAAGAGTCAAAACCAACAATCCCATAAGCGATTCAGGAGACGGGCAGGTTCACAAACAACTGACATTAAAAATGCAAGTTTCCCATCCCAAAACACCCAGATGTCAACCCTTTGGAAAGAGATCCAGCCGCTCCGCCAGAGACCCTTCGCACCACATTTGAGGCCAAGTTCACAGGTTTCACTCATGATCCCGACTGAGGCAACACAAAGAAGGGACGCAGCGGGACCCAGCACGGTTCCGAGACCAGCCATGTCCCATGGCACCGCCAGGCTCAGCCTTCGAACATACCTGTTGCCACCAGTGGCGCGCAGCTTGATGTGCAGGGCGGTGATGCCCAGCTCCTTGCAGCGCTGGGCGACGTCCTGGGCCGCCAGCATGGCTGCGTACGGAGAAGATTCATCTCTGTCTGCCTTCACCTTCATGCCGCCGGTCACGCGGCAGATGGTTTCCCTATGGAAGGGAAAGGCAGTGTTCAGGGAAAAAAAAAAACCTTCCTCTTTCCTCCCCACAAACCAGCTCCTGGTCACAGACAGAACGTGGCACTTCGAACGTCAGGGGATGAAGAAGCTGCCAGGCTCGAGCACATCACGGAGCACAGCAAGCCCTCTAGTCTACGCTCACATACACAAACCAGCTCATCCTCCAGCTCAAGGGTTCTGGGGGAACCTCGTGGCCCCATCTAACTTCTGCTCCCAAAGCCAGGCGCGGCACAGAGGTGACCGGCGTTCCATACTCACTTGCCAGAGAGGTCGGTCACATGGACGAAAGTGTCGTTGAAGGAAGCAAAGATGTGGCAGACTCCGAACACGTTTTCTCCCTCAGCAACCTGAGGTCCCAAGCTGATGACCTGTTCTTCCTTCTTCTCCTTGCCCTTACGAGGTGCCATTTCTGAGCAACAACAACAAAGAAATGCGAATGACGGTGCACCGCTCAGCGCCCACACACAGGATTTTAGAGAATTCACCGCTACCGCCACCTTTTCCCAAGCAAAAGAAACAAGTAACCACTGGAAAAACACAGGGGGCAATTCTGGGGTAGGAGAGGCTTTTTAAAAAACCCGAGATTGCCAGCTTCGCCGTATTCCGGCAGACGGGTCATCACCTGTGCCCATTCAGCGTGGTCTCTCCTGCAGGAGCCACCAAACAGCAGCGCTTCAGGGCCGCTGACATCCCCGCGCACTGCAGCAGAGCGGGAGGGAGCCCCTTTCCTCGATAACCAGCAATGCTGACAGCTTCCCCTTGCCTGTTTGTATGGTTTTATGGAAACAAAACACCCAAACGGGCAATTCTTGAAGACCTATGTGCTATCAGGACTCTGCAAACCATTCAAGCACCAGCTTGGGTTCTTCCATGTAA